TAGTAAATCGTGCATACCCATTTTTTTGTGCTTAGCTGCAAGTTGAATAGATGGGTACTAGCACGCTATAAATATTATATAATATTGAATGTAAACTGTTTCAACAAAAATTATAATTTTTTCTATAAACAACAGAATCAAACCCCTGAGCGGGGTCGATAGTTACCCCTACAATTTTTAAAGTTTGTCCCTTAATTTTGGTCCCCTAGGTCACGTCTCCTGGGTCACAGCTTTTATAAATTACCTTTTCAATTGAGCGCAAATTTTTTGGTGCTTGCGGCAATGTATTTGGTAACGGATTTTAGTAGGAAATAGTGTTTTTAAACTATCTTGAAGCCACAACACTTTTTTGTATTTTTTATATCAGCGTGGCAAAACCGTGCATTCTCCTGTGTCACAGTATTATACTACTTTTTACTTTACTACAGTAATACTGTAGTAAAGTAAAAAGTAGTAAAGGTACCAGTTGGGCTTTGTTTGATTCTCAAAAGTAAGTATCATAGTAATGGTTTTAAGGGCAAAAATACAATTTTTTAACTTAAAAAAGTAAAGAGGTTATGTTCTAAAAACATTTTTCCCCTGGGTCACACGTCTCCTGGATCACATATTGTGTGACCCAGGGGAAAGTTATGTGACCCAGGGGTCAATTCCAAAGAAACAAATTATAATATATTTTTGAAATAATAATAAACTTATAGGAAAGTTTTAAAAACATTTTTTTTCGACCTTCCACCTTTTCTGTTTCTGACAGTACGTAGCCAATTTAAAATAATGTACTCCACCTTTTTAATAGTAATTTTCCTAGTAAATGTATTTTGCCTCAAAAAAGTTTGGAAAATTTTTTTGGTAGTTTACCGAAACAATGTTTATATTGACTTTTTATTATTATTTTATTAATATTACTAATAACAAACTTTTTATTAATTTATTGCTCGTTAAAAGCTAAAGATAAAAAATCGAGAAAAAACATTTTTAATACGCATTAAAAAAAAAATTTCTTAAACTCACATTTTTTAAATACAAAAAATATATTAAAAATACTTATGTATGTAAGAAAGTTGGGAAATAGAACAGAGTCTTTCCTTTACCTAGTTTTGTACTATTTTTTTTTATAAATAATAAATGTATGTTCTTTTTATGACAAATCCTAGTGTAAATAAAACTTTAAAAGGATTATTAACAAGCAGAAAACTATATTTTCAAAATGAGCATTTTAGTTTTATATATGTTAGCAAATTTGTGTCCCAGGGGACCATTTTAAGGGCTTATTTAAAAAAATCCAACTGCCCACTTCAGATGTTAAATAACACACCTAAATAAACAAAATTTGGAAAAAACAGGTTTGTAGATTAAGTTTTTGTTTTTACTTTTTCTTCTTTAAATGTACAAGAATTTTGAAACCCTTAAGCCTCATTCAGAACCTCGTAATAAGTGGAATAAATTAGTGGTTTCAATTAACGTAAAAGTTTGTCTTATGAATATACACAGTGTTGTTCACAACCAAAAAATTAGTGGTAGTACTTTTTAATTAGTGGAAAAAGTTTGCAAACTTCTAACTTTTACCTCTAATTATAATTGGAAAGCGGCTTTGCGCATGTGCGCGGATATTTTATGTCAAAAGCAAAAAGTTTGAAGATTTGCCAGTGAAGGTAAGGTTATATAAATATTATTGTAATGGTTGTACAAAATATTATTTTAAGGTAGGTAGTTGTCGTGGTACAATATTGTCAAAAAAGATTCTACGCACCGTAAAAGTATACGAGCTTGTAGCTAAGTGATTCATAATTTTTTCGAAAGACTGTACCCTGGAGACGTTACCTTTACGTAATACTTTCAAATATTTTCATAAGTTTTAATCCGGCAACGTCGCTTATGCTCAACCAATGGATATATTGTAGACTGAATCAGTCTGTTTGAATTTACTGCGGAAATAATATCTATACTCGCGTACAGCGTTGCCAAGTTGTTTTTATCTGACACTTGTGATGTATACTTTTTACAAATTGTTGAACTTTAAACGGTTATTTATAAACAATTAGACGGTCAAAAATTTTTAATTATTTATTTTTAAACTCAGCAAAAATACATTAAAAGACTGTTCGTTTTTTTAAAGCTTCTGACAGTTAGTTTTTTTTATAACTAAGAAACTGGTACAGAACTACAGAAAGCGTATACAATTCATGTTAATTATCCAATTTTTAATTGAATTTATCTCGGGTTATAGACGGTCAATCGACTTCAAATTTTAAGGATAATTGTATTGTCATGTCCTTAATAAGTATACAAAAATTTAAAATTTTCTGTTGGTATGCTTACAGCACGACAACTACCTTAATATGATTAATATTGTTTATGTCAGGTTAAGAAAAATTGACTATCTTTTAGCAAATTCCCTTAATTTTAGATGTTAATTTTGCGCATTGTGAATGATCGCTTTGTGTTAATTATAAGTATAATTGAAACCACTAATTTTTTCCACTAATTACGAGGTTCTGAATGAGGCTTTATACCAAAAATTCATTCAACATTATTTAAAACAATTTTTGTTTTGGGTCCTAAATTATTTAGTATTTTACCAAACGAGCAAAAAGTATAAAATCATAATAAATTATTATTATGTAATATTATTCTTATTATTAATAAAAAGAGCGGTATCTATACAGGGTGTTATGTAATTAATGTTATATATTAAAATGGGTTGTTCCTTAGGGTCCATAAAGAAGCACCTGAAACTTTTTTTTCTAAATTCCAAAGTCTAAAAATAATTTATAATAACCTTTATCCTACCAAAAAGTACGCCACTGATCGACTAGGAACTTTAGGTTAATCTGGTGGATTTATTATGTTATGGTTGGTAACAACAGTTTCCAAAATCTCTCAAAAAAGTTGACAAATGCTGGATTTATGCAGCACAAATTAACATTAATTTAACATTAAGATTAAGATTAACATTAACATTAAGAAGTTAAATGAACGTAATCCATTGGAAGCTTTTATGCAACACATTAACATTAACTTTAGCATTAAGTTAACATTAAGAGATGGCCAACTTTTATCTTCTTAATGATAATGTTAATTTTTATTCCTCCTGCGCAGGTTTGCGGCGCAATTTTTAAATAAACCGTGCCAGTAATGCCAACATACCCGAAATTAAAATGAAACTTATTGCTGAATGATTGATTTTTTATTCAATGATTGTGTTCTTTGGTTTATTGTTTGACGTGGAGTTTATAGTTTTCATTTATTTTACTTAACAGATGCTAAAACGGGATTAAAACAAAATTCAAACAAACCAAAAATGTCAGATGTCAAAATGACTTTAACTTATACGCATGCTTAATTTGCTACTAATTTTGCTGCATAAATACCCTTCTATTAATGTTAAATTAATCTTAATCTTAATGTTAATGTTAAAGTTAATCTTAATGTTAATTTGTGCTGCATAAATCCACCAAAACATTAACAATGCAAATTGTCAATTTGGCGTTTTTATTAATTGTTGGTTGTTTCATTTTTGTACTGAGGGTAAATTCAAACAAAATCTGCCAACTTTTATGACAGAATCTAGTGCATTTCTTTTAAATTTTGGGTTATGTTTTCAAATTGTAAATATCTTAAATAAGGGAAGTGCTTTTGTATTTATTTACACAAATTAAATGTTTAAAGTTTAACCTGTGAACTGGTCCCAATTTCATCTGAGTAAACAGAGAAAAAAACTGATGAAAAAATTAATTTTGTGGTTATGGATTTCAAATTTCAAAGGTACTAAATTTTCTAATCATTGCTTAAGCTAATAGCTGGATCAGTAAATAAATACAGAAGGGTATTAGAGCTTTAAGGGCATAAACCTTTTGTATTTATTGAGTTTTTATTTATTTTTTGCAAGAAAAATTTTTAGTAACAATTTTTTACATCTGGCAACGCATAGCTACTTTGTTGGTTGGTATGTATGTAATACAGGTGTGCAGAGATAAACAAGTGTGTGACCAGTGGCGTCACAAAAAATATAAAAAACTTCTAATGCATATTTTTTCTTTATCTTTGGAAAAATGCTTTTTAAAATATTTTTCCTTTATTCCTTATGTCAAAAGGAATACAGTATTTTAATATATAACATTAATTACATAACACCCTGTATATTGAACTGAAAATTGTAGAATTTTTGCAAAAAAGCGATTTTATTTTGTTATAAATAGTTTTTAAGGGACTTATAAGTATACTTAATGAGTGTGTATAATTTATTTTATATAGTTTAATTAAGAAAAATTCATTTTGTCGACCAGTGTTATTTTGCTTATTATTTTTTTAAACTCTACTTTTAATAGCTATTTACATACCATGGGAGGAAAATATTGCATTTCCTCCCGCGAATAGTTTGATGCCCGACGCGAAGCGAAGGGCATTAAATATTCAAGGGAGGAAATGCATTTTCCTCCTGAGGTATGTATATAGTTTTTTCTATTACCTTTTAACGGTTTTAAGACATTTTAAGCGTTCCGGTTCCTTTTACTTACCCGGTATGGGGTTATAAAATTATGACAAAATATTAAGTAGGTTTTGCGTCGCCGACGTTGTGTTGACAACGCTTTGTTGCTATGGTATTTTTGGTAATACCAACATAACAGTTTTTATAAGCTGTCATAATGTTTATCATAAATTTAATAGTTAATATGAATATAGTTTGTTAAAAGAATGTTAAAAGAATGGTTGGACAAGCGCGGAGTAAATCTTTTTCCTACAAAATCAAATAAGGCTAGACAAGGTACAAAAACTCTTGCCAATGTAAAATTTTTTAAAAAATAGAGGGAGGAAATATTTTTTCCTCCCGGGGAGGAAATATTTTTTCCTCCCGGGGAGGAAATATTTTTTCCTCCCGGGGAGGAAAAGAGGCATTTTCCTCCCTCGCTCGGGGGTGGAAAATTAAGTTTTCCATTAAGGTAGTAGAAAAAGTGTTTTAAAAGCATGATTTTTTAAATGACTAAAATCATATTCCCCACTTACTAGTACAGCACATCGTTGGCTTGGCGCTTCTCGTAGCGCACTATCTTGCAGAGTGCTCGTATGCAACTATCACGCAGCGACTGCAGCGCCTCCAAGCCGCTGAGGCCGTAATAGATGACCTGCAAATCCTGCAGCGACCTGCCGCCAGCAGGTTTCTTCATGGCGCGAGTCCACATCTCCTCCCACTCCGTCATCGAGCCGACAGATGGCGACACCATGGTGCGATGCGTTTTCCTCCGCGATAGTATGCATTTGCGGTGCGATTGGCGGGTTTAGCCGCTCACGGGGGAGGGTTGAGGGGGGTTGAGGGGCATTTTTTGGTCGAGGAATATGGTCACATTTTTTCTAAAACAAAAAAAAACATAATTAGTTTTTACAGCTACTTATAGATTTGTTAACATGAGTTTGTAGTTATTTATGATATTAGGTTAAGAAGTAAGGCTTTTTGTGCTAAGCTCAAGGTTTGAACAATTGAGCGAAGCACAAAAAGGCACTTCTTGGCCGAATGGCATACAACATTTTATCTTCGAAGCACTTTATATAGGTCAATTTAATTCAACATCAAAGCGGCCTAACCTCACTTTTTTAAAATCTCATTTATTTATTAGCTAAAGATTACATTAAATGTTCAATAATTATAATTATTATTGCTTTTAGAAGCAGTAATAGTTTGACAATACCTAGCAACATGATTTAAGTAGAAATGGATTTTTGCTATTACATTGAATTCAATTAATTGTTTAATAAATAGGTAGGTATTTTAATTTGTTTGGATTTTTATTTAAAAAATAGGTAGTTTGGAATGTATAAGCTGTGTTTAACATTTAATTTCACTGAAAACTTAAAGCAAATTGAAACTTGAAGATAATTTAAATCGTAGAAAAAGAATCGTGCGTTTTCTTGGTTGCCTAACCTCACTTTTTGTTTTATTATTCATATTTAATTTTACAATAATTTAATGAAAAATATTAAACATTAACAGTAAAACAAACAAATTAGTTCTTATTATAAATAAATTAAACCAGTTTAGTACGTTAATTTCATAGAAAAGGATTAATTTGTCAAAACAATACCCCTAGCGAGAAAAAATCGAACTAATTACTTGCCATAACAAGGTATTTCTTTATCGAATGTTGACAACAATAAAGTTTAAATTATAGACCGCGTGGAGATAAAAACATTTTATTGTTATTCGGGTTCCTTATATCTGTTAGGATAATCCCCTTTTTACCAAAGTAGGACAGTAGAGCAATAAAGGCACGTGTGCCTACTAAGCAAAACAATCTGGGCACAGCTTAGAAATCGAATGGTAACGCAGAGTCCGCAGAACATTTGTAGAAGTCGAATCATAGCAGTTTAATAAATTTAGTTAAAAAGTAATAAATAATAAGTGAAGCCAATCAAATTAGTTTTATTCAGGGTAAAATACCCTGATGTTTTACATCAGAAGTGGGATAGTGATTTCCATGTACAATAATTAGTTTAGTTAAGTTAAATTAAGTTAATTTATAATAAACAAAAGCAGACAAAGAGTGAGTGCATCAAGATGGCAGATGAGTTATCTAGAGTTGAAAATGACAATTTATGTGGTGATGATTTAGATGCAGAAGAAATTTCACAACCTCCAACCCCAAAACGCGTCAAAATGTGGCAAGAAACTTTAATAAATTTAGTTGTGACGCAACAGCAACAACTTGCTGAGTTAGCAAATCAAACCAAGATGGCAATGTCCCAAGCACCTCTGGCAAGGACCACACCTAGTTCATCTGACGAAAATGCGCATGCGTCTTCATCAAGACATGTGTACTCTTTTCATGTCACAAGCTACGATCCCGATAAAAGTGCCTATTCAATCAAAGATTGGTTGGATGATGTCACCCAGCTTAAAAGGGAACTAAATGTAAGTGACATTGTAATGATCTCAAAAGCAGGAGATGCACTGAAACGTCGAGCATACAAATACTTTTGTGATTGGAGACCCATTTCCCGAACTTGGGAAAACTTTTGTAATGACCTAACTGTAGCATTTCCTGATCGAGAAACACCAGGAGCACGAGCATATACTGCAGCAACTCTTAGCAGTCGTGATTGCGAATCATTGTGTGATTATGGTAACAAAAAAATACGTGCAATAAAAAAATTTCACGATGAACTGCCATGGGATACCATTCTGGGCATGGTAGAATATAATTTAAATAATGCAGAGGCGCAATCAGCAATTAGAATTCAGAAGCCTAGTACAGAACGCGAACTAATGAAATTGTTGAGTGAATACGATGCACGCCGAATCAGCAGTTCTTCTGGAGTAATGGAACACAAGCTTGGAAGACACCGAAAAGATCAACGGGATTCAAAAAGTTTTTGTGCACAAAAAGAAACAAAGGTTTTTAAAGGAGCCTGTTTTAAGTGCGGCCAACAAGGACATCAGCAAAGCTCATGCCGTAGTGTGCGTAAAGAAAACTCCCGAAAAGAAGTTGTTTCTGCCAATAAAAGCGAATTGTCAATTGTTCCTACTTGTGCGCATTGTAAAAAAATGGGTCATATGGAAATAAACTGTTGGTATAAAAGTGGAAAACCAAAAAAAGCATTGATACTTAAAAAATGACGTCAACTGAATTTAACACCAATAGCAACAGTGCTCGGTAAAGACGATGCAGTATCATGTAGTTATGTTATTGATAGCGGTGCCGATGTGTCAATCATCAAACGCTCTCTTGTAAACACATTGAACGGTATCATTAAGCCGAATGAAAAAGTGCACGCGTTGACAGGATTTGGGAACCAAATTGTTTATGCTATAGGAATGTGTGAACTAATAACTGTGTTGTCGACCGTGACCTTAGAAATTTGTTTTATTGTTGTGCCGGACGAAATAATTCCAAGTGATATTGACATTATTATTGGTTGGGACGTTATAAGTCGACCATTTTTGCGAATTGAGAAAGCTAAAAACGGACTAGAACTGCACCATGATTCATTAAATTTTTCAAAAGTGATTACTGTGCGTAAAACTACGGGCATAAAAATAAACCAACCTGGACTCGATAATAATTTAAAATCTCAATTGGAACGTTTGTTAACAGTTTATAAAAATAAAACACCAAATTATATTACCACTGGAAAAATGTCTATTAAGTTGAAAGACAAGACGCCAGTAGCATGGCATCCGCGGCGATTAGCGCACGAAGAACGGATTCAAGTGGGCAAAATAATTAATGAACTTCTTAAAGACGGTATTATTCGCGAAAGTTGTTCTGAATATGCTAGCCCTATCGTACTGGTAAGAAAGAAAAACGGACAATTAAGGATGTGTGTAGATTATCGCGAAGTTAATAAAAAGGTGGTTAAAGAAAGATATCCATTGCCGATTATACAGGATCAAATTAACGCTTTAGGTCATGCCAAATATTTTACAATTTTAGATATGAAGTCTGGCTTTTACCAGATGGAAATTGAAGAATCCTCTAAACATATTACCGCGTTCGTTACACCTGATGGACAATACGAATTTAATCGCATGCCATTTGGTTACGTGAATGCTCCATCAATATATCAACGTGCCATTGACAAAGCATTAGGGAAACTGAAAGGTACAAAAGCGTTAGTGTATCTTGATGATGTACTTATACCCTCTGCAACGATTGACGAAGGATTAAAACATTTGGAAGAGGTTTTAAGTGCGTTAGCAAATGCCGGTTTTTCGTTAAACTATGAAAAATGTGTGTACTTTGCATTAGAAACTGAATATTTAGGTGTAGTAATAAGTGAAGGAACTGTTCGCCCCAGTTCACGTAAAGTTAGTGCTCTACTTCAAACACCTCCTCCTAAAGACGTTAAAGGTGTTCGACAGTTTATGGGACTTGCTGGATATTTTAGACGTTTTATAAAAGGGTTTTCTGAATTAACGCAATCAATTTCGACATTACTACGAAAAAATCAAGTGTTTAAGTGGACTTCTCAATGTGAAAATGCTAGACAATTAATATTAAGTAAGCTAACCGATTCCCCTGTTTTACGAATCTATAATCCTGAGTTACCTTGCGAATTACATACGGATGCAAGTTCAATAGGAATTGGAGCCGCTCTTCTCCAAAATGAAAATGGCAATGTACAACCTGTTGCTTACTTTAGTCGTCGTACCACAGATTATGAGTCTAGATATCATTCGTACGATTTAGAAACTCTTGCAATAGTTGAAGCCGTGGAACATTTTCGTGTGTATTTATACGGAGTGCATTTTACCGTTTTTACTGATTGTAACTCTGTGCGAGCTACTGCAGTGAAGAAAAATCTACACCCCCGTGTTGCGCGTTGGTGGATAAAGTTACAGGACTATGACTTTTCTATCGAATATAGACCTGGGAATAAAATGGCCCATGTGGACTATTTAAGTAGAAATCCCGTAAATGATGAAACTGAGTTAAAAGTGCATGTTTTAAAAACAATAAACGTGAATAAAATTGCTGACAAAAATACATTACGGGAGTTTCAAAAGAACGATGCATTTTGTTGTGAAGTGTTTAATAATACGGACTATGCATCTGACTTGACTGTAATGAACGACATAATTATAACGAAAACAAATCCACCGAAATTATTTGTACCTATTGCCGCGCGTTTGCTTACGATGCGTTTATATCATGATAAATCATCACATATTGGTTGGAATAAATGTTTGACAAAGATGCGAGAGGATTTGTATTGGCCAAAAATGGGACAATGTTTAAAAAAGTACATAAGAAACTGCAGGGCTTGTGTATTGGGAAAGTCACATACTGGTCCACGAGCAGGTCTTTGGCAGCATGGCGAAAAGCCAGACGATATACTACACACGTGGCACATCGATCATGCAGGGCCACTAGTTAAGTCTAATGGATGTACACAGATCCTGGTAATAATCGATGCATTTTCGAAATTCTGTCGTTTTCAACCAATCCCAAGAAAAACTTCTCAACACTCTATGTGTGCATTGTTAACAGTTTTTGAAGAACTTGGCAAACCTCGACGAATAATAGCAGACCGAGCAGCAGCATTTACTTCAATAGAGTTTAAAAACTTTCTTAGTGAACAAAAAGTGGAATTACACCATATTGCAACTGGTGTACCGAGAGGTAATGGGCAAGTCGAACGCGTCATGAGGACATTATTTAATCTTATGAGAGCAACGTTAACAAACGAAAAAGAAAATACATGGACATCTGTTATAGCTGAAATAGAA